TATTTGACTTGTCATCTGCATGGAAGTATGAGGAAGGAGAGACGGGTTAGCCATACTTTTCTTGATGCTGTACTTACACGGCATTTTTGTATTAACCCACAAGATTACACTCCAAAAATTTAGTTGAAAAGGTCCCATTTCTCTCTCTCATATACATACACACACACACGCACACACATATATATGTGTGTGTGTGTGTGTATATGCTTCTGCAGATATTGTTTCTGTCATTCACGTCACTGTGTTTTCAACTACCATGTATATGCAAAGCTGAATTGTGGGGTACTAGCTAATTAATACTTGTTCCTACGTCCATAATTATATTAAATGTAATTAACACGTGGTTTTTTGTTTGTTTAAAATATATAATTAACGTAATTTTACTATATATATTGTATGCTTTAATTTCTGAAATAAACTATATAAAAATTATGTTTTTTGAGTATGAATAATGTAAGTTAATTAACTATATTTATATAATTTTTATTCAATGTAAATTAAAATAATATAACTGCAATATATAGTAAACATGAACATTATATCCAATATATATATATATATTACTAAATTCCTTAATTCTGTGACAAACTTTGTCTCTAATCCCCCAATTAGTTTGAAGAAACAATCAGAGATGAGAAATACTCTTTCGGTATTTTTGACAATCGAATTTCATAGTGTTGCTTAACTTCGAACTTTGTCTTTAATTCTAACGGCAACATTTTTTTATTTCGAGTTTAGATAAATTTTAATACATTAAATTTTTAATATATATTTTAAAAAAAATTTCGAGATTTGACAACGACAATAAATCGAGGGTACGAAAACATTTAGTTTACCAACTATTCTTTTGGTACTAATCAATGCAGGCTTAATTGATTTATTTGGTGCCATACTGTTTGCTTTCCTCAATGGGAAGCATGATCTACCAAAAAGAGAAAATCTTACAAAACTGGCATCTTAACTAGTTTTATTTATACATATATAGGCTATTATTCAGTTCCCTAAAAGGATTATATCAACTAAGATTATAATTAAATCCTCTCTCTCTCTCTCTCTCTCTCTCTCTCTATATATATATATATATATAAGATCAGCAATTAGCATGATGAGCAGTTGTCTAGGCATGTCTTGGAGTTTAATTATAAGCACTGATTTCATTGTTAAACAGTAGATAATCCAATAGTGTGATTATAAGGTGAGACGCAGCCCTTTCTGGGTGCACCTTATTAATGAAAAGAATTAGGAAACCAGTCTTTGAACAAGGAGAGCTGTCCCTTCATTTTATATTAAAAAAGAAACAAGAGTAACCCAATTCATTACTCCATAGATAGGTTTGATTTAACGTAATAGAAGGGAGTAAATTAAGAGATGAGAAATGGTTTTAATGGGGCCAACGGGCATAACAAGAAACAGTCAAGAAGTATTTGTACATGGACTCAATATATATATATATATATATATAAATGTGTCGTGTAAAACCAACAAAAGTGACTTACCATCTGTAACCCTAAACCAACCCCACTTTTTCATTCTTCTTCCTTGTATATATCTTCTTCTGGACTTCTGTTGGGCTAGTTAGTTTGATGGAAGAATATTCAATCCTGCTCCCAGTGGTCAGCTATGGAGGATTCTGAAGCTGCCTCAACTGATGATATTACCAAGGGTAGTTGCCCTAGGGGACACTGGAGACCTGTTGAAGACGAGAGGCTCCGCGAGCTTGTCCAACAGTATGGTGCTCAAAACTGGAACTCCATTGCAGAAAAGCTCCAAGGAAGATCAGGTACCGAAGTAACTCTAATTTTATATATACTTGTGTATGTGCGTGTGTGAGAGATCTCCCAATTCCCTCTATATCTTCCGGTCGAAAGTGTTATCTTCTTTTACAATTATTACTTGATTTTGATTATCTTCTTTCCCATAAACGGAGATAACTTTGAAGCTCAACCCTCATATGTGTGTGTATATATAAATATATGTACATACAAATATATATATATATATATAACACTAATTCTCTTGGCTGATAATTAGAAAAGTATATATAGTTGCTAGATATAATGATTAAAGATATTCATCATCACATCTTGCAATATTTGCCTGTTCAAATTTGAAGTTTGGTGGATGGAATTTTAGCTTGCATATATTAATTTTAGATTTATCCAAATAATTGACATATATACGATTTTGATAATACTCAAGAAGATGGTTTAGTTTAGCTCCTTTTCTTTTTTTTTGGTGAAGTATTTATAATACCCTTGATTAATTGTAGGAAAGAGTTGCAGATTGAGGTGGTTTAATCAGCTTGATCCAAGAATCAACAGAAGACCATTTAGTGAAGAAGAAGAAGAAAGGCTCCTTGCAGCTCATCGGATCCATGGAAACAAATGGGCGCTAATAGCCAGACTTTTCCCTGGAAGAACTGATAATGCTGTCAAGAACCATTGGCATGTCATCATGGCAAGAAAGCACAAACAACAGGCCAAACAATTTGGCAACAACAAGACAAGTTACAATAATCAGGAAGGTGACTCCAACCCAAATCCTAATTTAATTCATCCAAGAAAATCAAGACCTCAGGGATGGTTTGGCTCAAGATTAATTGGCACTGACAATGCTAGCTTCTTAGAATTTCAAGATCTCAATAAACATACTCATAATCATCATCTCTTCTCACCTTCTCCATCTACTTATTCACCTTCTTCGACTTTTGCCTCATCCTCCAACAACTCCTCTTCGGTCTCAGTTAAACGAGAAGGAAGAGATTGTTTTTTGAATTCTACTTCTAGTTTTTACACTATTGAGACCTCCAAGATATCTAATCAATTGCCTATTTATAGATTTCATAATCCAAACTCTCTAATATATGACAGCTGCTACCAAAATTCCACTTCATGTGATCAACTTCCGAGCTACAGAACAAATATTCAAACTTCTTTTGGATACTTTAAACTGGATGATCATCATCGTGATCAAGTCAATGGAATATTTAAGAGAGAAATGGCAAGTTTCCATGAAAATTTGGTCAGTCCAAGAAGCAGTGAACGAGGAGATGAATCCATAAAAAGCAAAGATAACGCTCCTTTCATAGATTTCCTTGGTGTGGGCATCTCTTCTTGATCACCATGCATACTACTCTATTTAACTATACATGCCCATATGTGTACATATATATATATCAGCTTCAATGTTTCTTCTTGCGATCCAAGTTAATGACTTAATGGCATGCAAAAGTCTTAGCACTTGATCATCACCAGCTTCCCTGTGGAACATGGCTAGCAACATTACAAATTTCTTTTGATACATATGCCCTATTCTGCTAACTTAATGCTATATATTATATGATGAGAAATTATACTTTTGGCCATTCATACGATTTGATCAGTCAAGAGGCAGTGAACTAGGAGATGAATTCATAGATTTCCTTGGTGTGGGCATCTCTTCTTGATCACCATGCACCCCACTCTATTTAACTTTTATATGTGCATACATGTGTGTGTGTGTGTGTGTGTGTATGCACACTGCCTAGTTTTAGCTTCAATCTTTCTTCTTGTGGTCCAAGTGAATGACTTCATGGCATGCAAAATTTTTAGCACTTGATCAAGATTGCAAATTTCTTTTGATACATATACCCTATTCTGCAAATTGATACTATATACTATATGATGAAGAATTATACTATTGACCATTCATACGATCGTATGATTTGGATGATAATTACGTTTATATGCTAAATGCTTATACTAATGTTTGAATCCAATCACATAAAGCTATCTCTCGATAATAATGCATATTGTGTATTAATTGTCGTTTAAATCATTTTAAAATATTTTAATTTTTTAACTTCGTTATTATTTTCTTATCTATATTGGTGGTTAAAAAATATTACGAAACTATTTTCAAAAGAAACAAAATCAATAAGAACTATTGAAAGAAAACAAAATTAAACTTGAGATATTTTAAAAATTTTATAAAATTCAACCGACACCATATTTATTTTAGAGATAAAAATACTCGTATGATTATTTTATAAGTTTTAGGGTATTTTTTAAGCTAATATATAATTTATTTAAGGCTTTGGGTACGTAAAAAAAAAGAAAGAAAAAGAGTGTTATCGTTATATATGTATATAAAATATATGGTTTGAAAAACTTTGAATAAAATATATGAATGAGTGAGGAGATGAAAATTTAATATGTAATAATAAATGTAAGCACTTGAAACTATTTTAGAATTCAAGTTAATTAATAACATATTAATTAAATTAAATTAAATTAATAATATTATTATATCTACTTCTTTATTGTTATTAATTTAATTTATTTATTATTTAATTTTTTAAACTGTTTTTAAAATAAAAAAAAAAATGGAAACTATTAAAAATTAAATTGTAATAAGTGTTAAATTTTGAAAATTAAATTAATAATTTATTTTAAAAATAAATAAAAATGTCATATATATATATAATAATTCATTTTAATATTTATTAAACATGTGATAATTAAAGAATAATATTAAATATATATTAATTAAAATATCTACCAGTACACGTGCATACGCTCTGCAAATCTAAACATCCGTCTCTCCGTTTCCAAACAAAAAGAAACAAAAGCGACAAAATCTGCGTCTCCAACCTCTGTCTCACTCTCTCTCTCTCTCTCTCTCTCTTGCTCCCTCTGGTTCAGTCTCACAAGTTAAAGCAATGGCGTCTCGCGCTTTTCCCCACACTTCCACATGCCTCAACCTGCACAGCCGCGAGAACCATTCATCGAAGTCGGTGCGGTTCTTGATTGAACGCAGTTCGATTTCTCGAAGCGAAAGCTGAGCCGTGAGTCGGTATCGAGGGGTAGGCGGCAGAAGAGGAGGTGCGCATGGTCTCCTAGTACGCAGCCGGGGGTCGTTCGATTTAGTCCAACAGGAACATAAGTAATAATTTTAACATTAAAATCAAAATAATAAATATATGAACAAATGTATATATTTATTATATACAATATTTTAATAAAATATTATTTAACATTATAAATATATATATAATTTATATTCTTTAATATTTAAAACTAAAATATGGGTATATAAATAATATATTTAAAAATTAAATCTTTTGAACAAAATTTCAATCCACTTCCATTTAAAACTGGATCAAATCAAAAAATATTTCATTCATCATTTCATGTCTGGACCAAGAATTTGGGCCTTCAGATATTTCAACCCTGAGCTTTAAACAATAGTTCATGGGCTTCTCATCAGCATCAAAATCATACCAATAGAACAGTTATAAGCTTCCTCATCAGACTCATTTCCCTTAAGTTGGAGCTCATAATCTTTCTAAAGAACAGAATGGAACTCATCATATATTTGTGGGTGATAATGAATTTGGTTGATGATGTTGGCTTTTACTAAAACATGGGTATTTGTTACATTTAAATTGAATATTGCAATGATGTGTATACATGTGTGTATATATATATATATATATATATATAGTGTTGAGGTGGAGTGTAATTAAATGAGATAGGTGGGGTTGGTTTAATATTGGATGACATGATGAATGAATCTGTGTGGGTCAGAGTTAAGAGATTCCCGCAATCAAATGATATCCCAGCAGCAACACAACAACAGGGTAGGGCCTGACTGATGAGGGTGTGATACACATTTCCACAACAAGCTTGTTCACTAGTCCATTTCAAAATTAGTTTTATCTTTTAATTATCACTACTTATTCAAAACTTCACTCTCCACATAAATGTTATGCTAAATCTCCTTTGTTTCGACCTCGGTAAAGTAGTATAAGGTTCTTTTGGCTTTTGATTGTTGTTAAATTTCACACAAAAATTGTTCAATCAACTCCTTAAATCCATAAATACTTTTTAACTCCAAGGATTGAAACTAATCTCAAGCTCCTATATTAGTAGAATGATGAATCATTAGCAAAGCATTGTATCAATAGTCTAATCAAACTCGTCATTCTTTGGTAGTAACTGAGGTGAACAATGAATATTTCGATCCCGTCAAACTAATCACTCTTCTAATATCCTAATTGAAGCCCATACAGATCTTCCTTGCTAAGGGTTCAAGCTTCAAGTTTCTCTAAAATAGACCTCTATATTGATCTCGGTATTATTTGCTACCTAAACTAACTTTTCTTCGATTTGGTTCTCCTCGTTCATAGAAAATCTATACCTTTGCAACACCTTAGTAGGGACGACTCTTCCTTCGACTGTTCAGGTAGTGCAAAACATTATTTCTAGGGATCTCTTTGGTATTGATTCATTGTCTAAGTCTTTCTAATAGTTGTTTTCCTTCTTACAACTCCTTTCCTCATTGTAAAAGTATTTATTTTAGTAAACTTTCAAATTACTGATCTTGCCATCTGTGTCTATTTGAGGCTTTTAATGAAAGGTCGCACCAGCCTCTACATCTCCTCCAACTTGTGCTATATAGCCTCCACTTTTTTGGTCTCTTTCACAAATATCTCTCCAAGTGTTTCATACTCTTTGTGCAGATCCTTTCCATTAACAATTATTTAAGAGAGCAAATGTAGTTTGGAAGAATTCCTTTTCTCTTTTTGTGGTGTTTCCTACTGACAAAACTAAAATGAAGTAAGTTTTATTACAAGCTTAGGTAGCAGTCTTAAATAATGATGGATAAATAGCTGAAGCAAATGGCGGTTTATCATGCATATTGTTTCTACTATAATGTAATGGATGACTCTGCGTCCCATACTTCATGCATATTGTTTTAAGTTGTCTACTCCATCTCAAAAATAGCAAGCAACAAACAAAATAAAGGGAAAGTTCTAAATTGGAGGGGACAAAAGAACATTAACTAAAGAACTAGATGTGGAATTAGAGTTTAAGAAAAGAAGAATTTTTCTAATACCAATTACCAAACTTTTTCAAAATGAACCATTTATAATGGTACTATCATTTTTACAGTCAAAATAAAAAGAAGACTAAAGATAAAAAGATCATAAGAAAATGAATACAATGAAGAACTACCTGAAGGGGAGGGGCTGCTGGAATGTGATTTCATTTCATATGTTCTGGCTTGAAAGAATGAGCTGATGTGCAACCATTGAAGAGGAAATTTGTGAATGATCGACATATTTTGCTAATAAAAGTATCATGATAGACATTTTTTTTCGCAATTGATTTGTACGAAATAAGTTTAAATTGTGAATATGACGAAAGGAAACGGTAAATTGACATAAATTTTTAGGGAACCTTGTAAATTTTTTCCAACAAAAATAAATGAATTTTTGCTCCATAGATCAATTGCTATACTAAATTACAAAAGAAATCCATTAATTTCTCCCACCTCTAAAATTTCTTCATCATCTCAAAGAAAGCAACAAAAAGATTTTCCAATTATATAAAGTAACAAAGGCAAAATCTTTAGACTTGTCCTTTCTGTTAACATATCTAACATAATTCCAGACTATAATATGCAATTGCTATATCTTCAACCTTGTCCCCTACAAAACCCCAAAAAGGATAACAAGGTCCTTGTTCATAAGTTTCCAGATTTGTTTTTTACTCAATAAAAATTTTTATAGGCCACCAAATTATGATTCATTGACTCCAATAAGTAAAGAATTGTAATATTTTCTAGTGGAGTATATTTATTCATTGAAGTTTCAGAAACAAAGCTAAATGAGCAAAACTGTCATCACCAAAAATTAACCAACCATGAAAGGAAAAGACAACTAAGTACCATTAAAGCCCTTCACTATGTACTTTCCCCAAAACAAAGAATTTCATTCACTGTGTACGATATTGGCACCACCCTTCTAGAAGGGCATAATTTTGAAAACAGCTAAATAACCAATGAGTTCCTGGGGGACAACAAGAACAACTCAATCAGATCTGCCTCTTGTTAACTCTTCATCTTATTTTAAGCATAAGATTTATACTGAAAATGAAACTGTCCGAGACAAGTTGAAATTTCATCTGTGATTAGTGTGATATTCTTACTGTACTAATAGAACTTACTCTTTCATTAAGTATTTCAGATCGAGATAACCAAAATCCATATCTCGATCAATAAGAGAGTTGTGAATAACTCATCACCCGAACTCCCTTCAAAAGCTAGTGAAGGTCATGCTAATATGCTCAGTTATTTGTTTTTCGTTTATTTTTTTAATTTCCGTTTATTATTTTAGAATGGACATTTGCGTAACCCTATTGGACATTTTAAATTATTGTGTAAAGAATGTAAACTCTAACTTCATTATTTCGCTTCCGTATTTAATTTATGATTTTATTTTCATTTAAGTTCTAGATCTCTACATTAATCTTATTTTAAGTATCAGATTTATACTGAAAATGAAAACTGTCCTAGACAATTTGGAAATTTCACCTGTAAGTTGGGCAGTCTAACATGACACTCATAGGATTTGCTTAAGCTTAATTCTTATTCCTCCACTAGTCACTCCTTTTCTAGGTCAATCCTTGTTAACAGAATCTAAGCGGTAGTTCTAATTTTAAAATCCAACCTCTAAAGAAGTGAAAGTAGGAGAGGAGATGGCTTAAACATTACGATCATTCTGTAATTCCATAACCTTGGAAGAATAAAGAATTGAAGATAAAGGCTTGGCTTTGTATGGAAATAAATGCATATCATTGGAAATAAATGAATATTACTACAAAAATGTCATTTCCAACCTAAATTTACAGGAAACCACTGTGCATATGGGATCATCAGAAATCACGCAAGAACCTAGGACTTTGACATTCTAATTTTTCTCTATACAGAGTGAATTTGGTATAATCCACAACTTTCTCTTGTTAAGCTAAAGATATGAAGTTGATTTCAATTCCAAACTGTTTCGAACCAATATCACTAACAGAATTTTAGTTATCATCCCTAAAATAATGTCATAGGTGAGATACATACACCAATGAGTGACGAATGATTAAATAAAAGCATGAAAAGATAAGTTTTTTTTTTTTTTTTCATAATATCTCAGTAGGACTTTGAAGGTTAAAGATATGTTTTAAAAATCTTGACAATAAATTACTAAAAATTTTATTCAACAAATTGAACAAACTGGCCTACCAAGTCCATAGAAGTAATCATCAGATTCAAGTATAAATATTCATTTATGCAATACAGAAATTGAATAAATAAACCACTGCATTTGCATATTCAGTGACCTAACATCCAAAACAATGAAGGTATATTTTTAAAACTACACAATCATGTGAATCCTAACCAAATTTTTTGAATATGAATGTGAATACACAGAAAAAGAACAAAAAAAAAGAATAAGAAAATGGCCACTAGCAGATTGAAGATTTCTCAACCAATAAATGCATGTTCTTAATTTCAACCACTTTCACGAAAACTCACCCAATCGATAATAAACAATCAATTACCCAACGAGAGAAGTAAGCAAGATCGGATCAATGGGTAGGTGATTAAATAGAGAAAATAAATTAACACGAAAGCAACTTAGAATAATTTTATTACCGGAATGTTGACCGAGAATTTGTCTCCATATCTACAATGAGTCCGGTGAAATTATCGGAGCGGTGAGAGTGTGAAACTGAAGGGTACAGGAAACCGATTATGGAGTAGAGAGAACCAGATTCCGGGTTAAGATCCGAATACCCAAGATTCCGGGTTTACTTTACATTTCTTTCCAACAATTTTATTTTTAATTTAATTATTGGATTTCCTTTATTTAATTTATATATTTTACGTGTTAATTATTTATTTACAATTTAAAAAAAAAATTACATATTTGATGCACTTATTAGTACTAATACATTTTAAAATTCTCAATTGTCTGATCATAAATAGTTTCAGAATCGTAAAACAAAAGATTATTCGAGACCTACATTGAGATATTGACGGCAATTTTTAAATATCGCACAACAAAATATGATACGATGAGATAAAATGTAATAAAAACAAGAACACAATGAACAAGTTACTTACTCTTAACAATCAAACGAACCCTTTCGTTCTGATATTCTAAATTATTTAATTCGAAATAAATTAAATCTTTTTAAATAAGATTCGAATCTACGGTCAATTTAATTAACAGTCGATCGCGCTACCACTGATTCACTAAGAAACAACGGAAGATTAGATGTCATGGAGTTCAATTCTCGTTTTCAACCTGCGAGCAATATGAATTGGCGTAAATCATTTAATTCATTTATGAATAATTAATTTAATTTTTTATTTAAAAAAAGATTAGTTAGGCAACATATTACGTGTTAAACAGGTACATTTTTGGCATGGAGCTGTACTCAATTATTTTGATGATGGCTTTTTACTGGTTAATTAAACAAAATTATACATATATATATATATATATTACAAATAATTATATTGTGTTATAAAGAAATTCAGATTATTAGGTGTTAGGTAATATTTCTTATAGTAATTAATGTTTTTATTCAAGTTGCTTCGTTGACAGCCTCCATTAAAATGTATACTCGTTTACGCTATTGATTTTTGTAAACATATACATGTATATGTATATGTGTGTGTATATATATATATATTACTTTTTAATTAATTCAAAAGCTTATAGCTGTGGTTTTTCAATCTTATTTTAAATTATATATTACAGCCTGAATATTTAAATAAGAATTATTGAAGTTTGTTGGGTGGAATTAATTAATTGTGTTGAAGTAATTTAATAGTTGGTTTTAATAATTTATAAAAATAAATGAATATATAATTATGGTACTATAATATATAGCCGAATGAATCATGTTATTATTTTATATATGTGTATGTATGTATATATATATATATGTTTCATCAAATGTTGTTGTCAAATTAAGTTAAACAAAATTGAAATTATAACATAAAATAATTGAAACATTTTTTTTAAAGTTATTTAGTTAAATTCAGTAGTGTAGGTTGAATGAAGACATGATGGGAAAGAAGAAAGAAAGGTGGTAGGCCGTACAATCCTAATAAAATAATATATATATATATATACATACATAATGATTCCTCAATAATATATATATTTTTTATTTTAAATATTTGTTAGATGAGAATACCCTTATGGGATTCTGCAATAATTGAAGGATATTCTTTTATCATATATATATATATATATATAATATCTATATATGTGTGTGTGTATATGTAGATGTATATATCCATAACAGTTGTTTGGGTGACATGTAAAAGTGGCCTGCCTGTTTCTCCTTCTTATCAAATAATTTTGTTCTTATCAATTTATGATAATCAGGATGTGGATAGAATATTCAAATGGATCTCTAAATTTCCTAAATCCAATCATTGTGCTTTCCTATTTACAACTAATCCAATTTTTTAATGTTTATTTATTTCATTAATCAAATTAATTTACTTAAAACATATTTTGATTCATCTAATAAGGATATGATCCCTCGAGAATCGTGTTCATCTTAAATTAAATTTTCAATTTAATCAAATCATCCATGTGTAATCCACGTCGTTAATTGTTCGTTTATATCCATTAATCTTATATTGTTTATTTTTTATATATATAAAATATAAGCTATAAATTATTTGTATTATTTATTATTAAATAATAGTAAGTTTACATGCACTATAAAATAATTAATAATCTTTGTTCGTAACGACTTACAGTTGTTCAAATAAAATAACTATTTTCCTTAACAGCATAGCAATAGTTATTGTAAATTATTTATCCTAATTATCTCATGTATATAAGATTTCTTTTTTTTTTTTCATTCTCTATCAGATGTTTAATAGACTTCCTCAATTTGTTACTTGGAGTTCTAGAGATATAATTGATTGATTTCTTATTTTCAATACCTTAATAAGATTATTGTATCGAAGTACTATCTCAAATTGAGATTGGTTTCTCGCCTTTATAACTTTGACAACGATTTGTTTAATGAGTTGAATTTTTTAGTATGTTGCCATATAAGTGATCGTTTAATAAAGTTACAAATTTATTATAGTATCTGTGTTTGTCTTTTGAATTCTCATTTAAGTAAAGATCTAAAAAATTATAAATGAAAACCTCTAATTACATTATTTTTGATGCTGTGACGTCAAAGATAGACATAGTTTTAATAATGATAAGTAACACTATTTATGACATGTTAGAAGGAGCTTATTGAAAGGAAAAAGTTAGAAATATCGATAAATAGGTGACTTTGGCTTTTATTACAGGGAATCATTCTAGTGTTTAAGTGAATATTTTAGAATTATAAAAATGAGAATGGAATAAATGAAGAGAGACAGCATAAAATATGTAACTAGAGGCTAAAAATCTTCTTTTTTCTAGTTGTTTTATATTATATTTAAGATGTCAGTTTCTATTAATGTTTCATAATCTGACTTCACCAAATACTCTACTACGTTCGCTAAATACATGTCATTGAATAATGGATGAACGTAGTATGTTTTCGTACTTTTTTCTTTTGTAAGAAAAGGTCTTCATTTTCGTTTTCGTCCTCAAATCTTATTATTAACCAATCGATGACATTCAGTTTTGTATTTTAGTGTTTAACTACACACACATCTATAATAAGATGATTAACGAAAATAAAAATATAATCTAATCCTTCGTATCATTATCATTAAAAATATTTTTAATACAAATTAAATACGGATCTACACATTGACAACTATTTTATCATTAATTACTAGTACTATTAGATTATTTTATGTTCAAGTTAAGTCACATGTCGAAAACTATATGAAATGAAAATTAAAAAAAGAAAAAGAGTTTCCAATTAACAAATGAAAAAGAAAACTCTTATTAGATTATGAAAATCATTCCATTATCTTAATCCTAAATATTTCCAACAATTAAACCTCATTTTCATTCTCTTCGTATATTTTCAAATATAATTTTTTTTTCGTGTAAATGTTGATATTAATAAATTTTGTTAGATCCCCTCAATTTTATAATATTAATAATTTTTTTTTTCAAATAAAATACTATACTAATACAAATTAATAAATTATATTAACTTATTTAGGTATTTGGCAAAAAATATAATTTATAAGTTGCTAAATTTATGATGAAATGAACAAAAATAATTGTCATGCTTCAAATATTATTTGAAGGTATATATTAAAGATAACTACTAAGTCAACATCAGTTTTTATAGAGAAATTATGAAATATTAAAAACAAAAATTAATTTATAATACCATTTTTCTAAGAAAATATTTTTCCAAAACCATAAAATTTTGAGTTAAATACATTAAAAAAAAAACTAAATCATTATTGAAAAATTTTATAAATTTTTGCTGATAAAAAATATAGTGAAGCAAAAAATCTCTCAAAAATTTAATTTTAAAATTTTAATTCTTTTTTTTTTTATATACAATTTATAGGATGCTGAAGTTCTTATTAATTTAATTTAATATAATTAGTTAACTAATTAGAGATTAGTACAAAAAATTATAATTAAAGTTAAGTAATTTTGTTACTTTCCTTGTTCACTCTTACATAATTGTGTCCCATCAGACAAAAGCCAGGGAACAATTTAGATTAGATCAACAGCTGATGATGTCTCTTATTATTATTTTATAAATATAAATTTTTAAAAAATTAAAAATTAGAATTTTTTTTTTTTAAAAAGAAGTTTTGATAACGTCCGCAGTCTGTGGAGTTAATAAATGGGTCACAGCCAATCAAACGGCTGTATTGGCATCACCAACTTCCTCCTCCTCGGTGCATGTAACCGTCAATGTTGGCCAGGTGCATCCCTCTTTTTATTATATTCTTTTACAGCCGCATGATGCATGATTGGATTCCGTCATAGTCAACGCCGATTTAATTTCCTTATTTCTTCTTAATATATATATATATACACTAACACATACGAATTATTAGTGGGTTAATATAATCCTCCTTTTATTTTTTTTTATTTCTAAATTTTATAATACAAATTAAAATTACAATTTAATTTTTAAAGATAAATTAATTTAGTTTAATTGATAAAATTTAATTTTTAAATTTAAAAAACGTATTAATTAAACATATATATGTATTAAATTGGCATGTGTACAATATTATTAATTTAGTGTATGTGATTACTAATTTAATTTTTTAAAAAAGTCATTACATATATATATATGTAATTATTAATTTAAAAAGAAACTTAAAAACCTTAATCATGCCTCTTCCACCTTTATTAATATATATATATATATATATATACTAACTCAGCAACACATCATGATATACAAACCATATAATACTTAATGTAATTACAATGTCATTATAGCTGTATTCAATTCTTATTTAACGACAAAACCATGGTCATAATTATTTGTGTTTATCAAGAACATTATTGATTTAGATGGGAGCATAAGGGTAAAATTATTTATTTAAAAGACATTTTTGAGAGTTTTTTCATCATTTTTAGAAAAAATTAAAGTCATGATTACGAGGGTTATAAGTTATATTAGTGTAAAATAAATGATTGCGATAATGGCGAAAACAAAAAAATAAAATGCATGAATAAAGAATACATTTCAATAAATAGCTTTACCCATGATACGAAAGTCTAATACCAAAACTAATGAAAGTATAATTAGTTGAGACATTTTCTTTATATTTTTTGCATTTACGAAATTAATTCACCAAAATAACCATGGCCAAATTGCCCATAATAAAGGTCCTCCGTGATTCAAAAGATCTTGAATCATCTTCTTAAAAATTTACATTTGATAACATTGAAGAGCTAGGTTCTGATTTCTCTCGGTGATGCTTCTTTAACTTTACCAGAAAGAAACACAAGAAAAAAGATAAAAAAAAATAACCTACTTCCAAAATGATTTGTCAATTTTTTTTTCATGCTGTAGATTTTAAATGAATGTAATTCTCAAATCAAGATCCAACCCAATTATTTTGAATGTAGCAATAGAATCATTTCATCACCCATTTATCGATAGAAAAAAGAATCGAATTTAAAAAATAAAAATAAAAACTACAATTGGCAATTTTTCCAAGCAAATTTTTGTATGGATATAACCATAAAAGCTTTATTCTATAGCTATAATTTCTTTTTTTTTTTGTACAAATTATACTTGTTGTGTGCTAATAGTGGGTAAGCTTTTTGGATGATTTCCTAATCATCCTATCTTATACCCATATAAATCTTTCGTGTACATTAAATTTTAATACACATTTTGGCAAATAGAAATCCTTTACCAAAAGATCTTGAAGAAAACCTCTAAATTAGCAGTAAATATACTCTCGCTTAACTCATCATCAATAATAAGAAATAAAACTCCATCAAAAAGGCTAAGGTACCATTTAGGGAAGTGAGCCTTAAATATTTCTTTTAGGTCGAATAAAATTGATCATAAGCTGAATGATTTTGTTAGAAGAAAAATAAGTATGACAGTGGCACTAAAGGAATTAAGATGTTTGTCATGTCTAATAGATAGAAAAAAAGATACAAAATAAGAAATGAAAAAGTAGTACATATCTGATGGAAGTCGAAATAATTTTAATGTAAACAGAGTAAGAGGTGATTTATCAATGATTGAAAGTTAAAAATATAAGAGAACGAAAGTCAACCTGCCTTGAGAAGTATTTGAGTCAAATTTATGAGAAGATACATTAAAACAATGCTGTTGAGAAGGATAAGCCACCTGAAGCAAAAGAAGAAGCAAAATTTGAGACAATAGGTTTTAAAGGGACAAGTTGATAGTTGCAGAGAGTCAAAACTAGTGGTAGTTATATAGGAAGTCCTTACGGAGAGAATAAAAAATTAGGCTTTTTTAATGTAAATATTTTTTTTTAAAAAATTGATAATTAAAACTCTTGGTTTAAGATAAGTTTTAATTTTAAATCATTAAAATTGTCACAAAAACTATTACTAAAAAATAACTACTACATATATTCAAAAAAAAAAAATTTTGGTAGCGTAATAAGGTAAAACCTTTTAACCAATAATTTTTATTTGTCTAATTTTATTACTTAAACTCAGTAATAAACTAAACGTAACATTTAATAATATTATATAAACTTGTATGTACCAGCATAAGTGATAATGCAATCCAATATTTTTTTAAAATAATGTTTGTCAACTTTTTAGTACGAAATTAGACAAAATCATAATATTCTATGAGGGAAACATAAATGTATTGTACTATACTTTGTTTCGTACATGAATTGTGACCAAAGAAAGAATTCTACTAGGTAATTGTTCGACGTTAGGTTACAACGACTTGTTCCAAATTTTAATTTTTACAAATAAGGTTAGAACAAACTATACCGTTTGTAGTTTACCCAAGGTTTGAACAAATGTCCCCATTTTGATTCAAAAGTATGTTAATATTTAATGATATATGATTGAAAAGAAGTGTTTAGTAGCTTAGAAAGAAAGAATGGTATTCTAATGTACAATAATACGCGGTTGAAAAAAAGTGTTTGGCGGAGATTTTCAATATTTTTGGTATAGCTTTTTTTCCATGAATTTGGTTTTAAAATAATGGGAAAGAAAGGGATTTGGGTGATTATTTATTGACTAATTTACAAGTTAAAAAGAGGGTAAGTAAAACGTGTAGGATTTGTGAAAGTTGACAAGTGAGATTTTAGATAACGTTTGATGAAAGACGTGGATGATTTATAGACACACATATATGTATGTATGTATATTACTACAAACGTAATGGTTTATATCGTACATTGATGATCAAGATGCAATTTTGAGGGAATTGAGAATAGACCCAATTAGAGGATGGATAGGTTCCAGATTTAAGGTTGGATGGGGAGGCGGACCTGCACATCTTATTCCTCCGTAATCTTAAGTTCCATATCCAACAATTGGTATTGCTACTTTAGTACTTTGTCCAAGGTAGTGAACACAATAACTTCTGTTGACCAAATAT